AAGAGGATGCCCCAAGAGGTCCCCAAGAGGCCACCAAAATGCTCCCAAGAGGCTCCCAAGAGACCCCCAAGAGGCCCCAAGAGGCTCCCCAGAGGCACCCATGACGCCCCGAGAGGCCCCAGGGACTGCGAGACCCCAAGACACCCCAAGAGGACTCCACGAAGCTCTCGGAAGAAATCCGAAGAGACTCCGAGAGGCATCCAAGAGACTTGGCCTTTCTGTTCGCCCTCCTCCTCATCCTCCTCCTCATCATCCCCTTTCCTCCACCTCCTCCTCCATCTCCTCCTCACCCGCCTGCTTCTACTCCTTGCTCCTTCCGCCTCCTCCCCCTTCTTTTTTTATTAGTGTTAGTATATTGTTTCTGGTAATATGAGTATTAGTAATAATCTTACTTGTATCCCTATTCGTATTATTATGCTTCGTAGTATTGTTCTTATGAGTAACATTATGATTATTAGTATGTGTCTTATTGAGGGCAGTTCCTTTTCAAAATGTGGCTCTCGCCTTAGCGCCGCGCACATTGGTTGTTCCCTACCTAGGCTCTGCCTAGAAGAGTTCTTACTCGCTTGGCTTAAAGGGGCCGGGCAGTGCAAACCGCCCCGGGCGGTTCCCCCAGTCCCCTGGGAGCCAAGCAAAAGCAACAGCAAAGGTAAAAGCAAACCCGCGGTTCCCCAGTTGCGCTCCCTGGGTGCCCAGCGAAAGCAAAAACGAAGGAAAAAGTGAAGGCAAAAGCGAAGGCAAAGCAAAAGCACAGCATAGCATAGTATAGCATAGCATAGCGCAGCATTGCATAGCGCAGCATAGCATAGCATAGCATAGCATAGCCTAGCCCAGCCCAGCATAGCATTGCGCAGCATAGCATAGCATAGCATAGCATAGCATAGCATAGCATAGCAGAGCAGAGCAGAGCATAGCATAGCATAGCATAGCATAGCGCAGCACAGCATCCACTATTGCTGCTGCTATTTATATATATACATATATATATGTGTGTACTTATATGTGTGTGTGCGCACGTATGTTCCATGCATGTTGTCCGTCTGTGGGCCATCTTGAGCCCTTAGTGGGGCAGCTTGAACCCTGAGGATTCACGAAGGTTTCGCACATAGCACCGGCCGGGAGACACGAAACCCGACGTATTATCGCATGTCCTAAATGTCTTTTCATGAGAGAGCGTGATCCACCGCCGCTTTACTGTGGAAAATTGCCCCCCTCTTCCTCCGGAACCCGGGGTTCCCCCCCCCCCCCCGAAAATCCCCCCCCTCTGCTGGAACCACTCCCCCCCCCCTTCCCCTTCCCGCGGCAAAACCCCCCCCCTCCCCTAACCCCCCCCCCTCGAACTCGAAGAGTGGGGGGGGTTCACTACCGGTTCGACCCCCCCCCCCATCGAAAACCAGAGGGCGGGATCACTACCGGTTCGAACGAACCCCTCCCCACCCCCCCCTCGCACCGCCAGCAAACGACTCCCGGTCCCTACCACCGTCCCGCGCCTAATCCCCACTGTGTTCCAGCACCAGTGCTCCCACCACTGTCACACTGTCCCCACTGTCCCCACCACTGTTCCCACCACTGTCCCCACTGTTCCCACCACTGTCCCCACTGTACCTCTGTCCCATTGTCCCACCGCCGTCCTCGCCACCGCCTTCACCACTGTCCCCACTACCACTGTACCCTCCATTGCCCCACTGTTTCCACCTCCCACTGTCCCCACACCACTGTCCCCACCACCACCGTCCCCACCACTGTCCACTGTCCCCACCATTGTCCTCACCACTGTCCCCACCACTACAACCAAACACAAAAAAAACAGAACAACACCACTACAAACACAAAAAAAAAAAAGTAAGTCCCCACCACTGTCCCACCGTCCCCACCACTGTCCCGCTGTCCCCTCACCACTGTCCCCACCACCACCGTCCCCACCACTGTCCGCACCCCCCCCTCGGTTTTCGAGGAGAGGGGGGGGGGAGGGGTTCGAACCGGTAGTGACCCCCCCCCCCGGTTTTCCAGGGAGGGGGGGGGAAATTCGAACCGGTAGTGACCCCCCCCCTTTTCATGATGAACTGGGGGGGGGAAGGGGTTCGAACCGGTAGTGACCGCCCCCGGTTTTCCGGAGGAGGGGGGGGGGGAGGGGTTCGAACCGGTAGTGACCCCCCCCGGTTTTCCGCCAGCAGCGGTAGAACACGCTCTTTCCTAGATATGCAAATATATGTGTATATGTACATAACACCCATGCGGAATGCTGCATGTGTGTGTGTGCGTGTGTGTGTGCATGTATTTGTTCAGCACCGCGTCGTAATGCCTTTCATCCTCGTTGCCGTTCAGCCTCGTTTACCGCTCCTACTAATGTTGCTTTCCTAGAGGCTCCAACTCCAAGGTAGGGTCGCACTGGGATAATTAGAAATTGCAAGAGTTTAACGGATTCCCATGATCAGCGTACCAGAAACGGTGCTTTGGACGGATTCAGGACTATACGGGTGCAACAGTTATGTTGATTCGCGGACTTGAAGTTATGTTGATTCGCGGAGCACGATTCCAGATCGTCAGGACGCAGCAGTCAAGTTGATCCATGGCGTGGAAATCCCGAAAACAATGTTTTGGCATGCTTCAAGGTCTTCAAACGGTTGTCTTCCAACGCGGTAGTTCCCTCAATGGAAATGAACCGTTGCAGGGGCCTATGAAGAGGGAGCTTCGAGGGAGGGTGAATTTCAACATCCTTGATGACTCTTGGGTTTACACTGGTCCTCCTCCTCCTCCTCTTTCTCCTCCTCCTCATCCTCCTCCTGCTCTTCCGATTCCTCCTCCACCCTCCCCCCTCTTGGGGTAGGACGTCTTACCCGGCCTGTTATTCCAATGCGTGCTCCTCCACATCCTTGCTCTGGGCAGCTCGTCTGGGCATCGTGTCTGGATGGGCTAGGGGGGTACGCGAAGCGTCTAGAATACCATGCTGCGTCCACGTTATCGGTGCCCTTTTCCTTTCACGCCCCCCTACCTCCCTTTGCGCATACTGTCCCTCCTCCTCTCCTCCTCCTCCTCCTCCTCCTCCTCCTCCTCCTCCTCATCATCATCATCATCATCATCATCATCATCATCATCATCATCAGCAGCAGCAGCAGCATTCACCACCACCACCATCATCCTCCTCATCATCATCATGATCATCATCACCACCACCACCACCACCACCATCATCATCATCATCATCATCATCATCATCATCGTCATCATCATGAGCATCAGCATCAGCATCAGCATCAGCATCATCATCACCATCACAATCAGTATCATCAGCATCAGCATCAGCATCGGCATCAGCATCCGCATCATCATCATCATCATCATCATCATCATCATCATCATCATCATCATCATCATCATCATCATCATCATCATCATCATCATGAGCATCACCAATCACATCACCATCAGTCGTCGTCGTCGGTCTCATCGACATCATCGCCACCACACCACCACCCCACCATCATCTCATCATCATCATCATCATCATCATCATCATCATTAGCATCAACATCAGCATCAGCATCAGCATCACCATCCCATCAGTATCATCAGCATCAGCATCAGCAGCGGCATCAGCATCCGCATCATCATCATCATCATCATCATCATCATCATCATCATCATCATCAGCATCAGCATCAGCATCAGCATCATCGTCATCATCATCATCATCATCAGCAGCAGCACCAGCATTATCATCATCAGCATCAGCATCATCAGCATCACCACCACCATCATCATCATCATCATCATCATCATCATCATCATCATGAGCATCAACATCAGCATCAGCATCAGCATCATCATCATCACCATCACCATCAGTATCATCAGCATCAGCATCAGCAGCATCATCAGCATCCGCATCATCATCATCATCATCATCATCATCATCATCAGCATCAGCATCATCGTCGTCATCATCATCATCATCATCAGCAGCACCAGCATTATCATCATCAGCATCAGCATCATCAGCATCAGCATCGGTATCATCATCATCATCATCATCATCATCACTATCATCATATAGTCATCATCATCAGCAAGAGCAGTATCATCATCATCAGCAGCATCATCAATATCAGCCTCAACATCAGCATCACCATCATCATAACCACCACCACCATAATCAAAGTCAGCATCATCATCAGCAAATTCAGCATCATCAGCATCAGCATCATCATCAGCATCATCATCATCATCATCATCATCATCATCCCCATCAGCATCATCATCGTCATCATCATCATCGGCGGCGGCGTCCTCGTCGTCATCAACAGAATCGCCATCCTCATCATCATCAGCAGCATCATCATTATCATGAGCATCATCAGCATCATGATCGTCAGCATCATGATCAGAAAAACCTTCATCTTCACCATCAGCATCATCATCAGCAGCGGCATCGTCATCAACATCAGCATCAGCATTATCATCATCAGTATCAGCATCATCATCATCATCATCATCATCATCATTAGCAGCAGCGTCGTTATCATCCGCAGCAGCAGCATCATTACCATCATCATCACCAACTACTCTCGTCGCAACAGTATCATCAGCACACTACCAGATTTTATCATCATCAGCAGCAGCAGTAGAATCGTAATTCCAATCAGCATCATCATCATCATCATCATCATCATCATCATCAGCAGCAGCAGCAGCAGCAGCAGCATCATGATAAATCATAATTAGTATCAGCATCAGCATCATCAGCATCATCACCATCAGCAGCACCATCATCATCCCAGGCCCCTCCTCCCCCTCCCCCTCCAAGGCTGGCGAGAGGGGCTTCGGCGCCCTTTCAGAGCTCGCGCCCAGGCTGCACGTTCCTGCGCAGCTTAGACCGGAGCAGAGGCGGGTGCCTGACATGCCAGGTCGGAGGCTGGCATCACGACATGCTCCAGGCTCGGAGGCCTCTCTCCCTCCCTCTCCCTGGGGCCCCGAAGCGAGGCCCGTGCGCGGCAGCGGGCCTCGTCCTCGCCCTCCGTGTTGACCTGCGTCTGGAGCTCCTGCAAGCTGCGAGCGGCCGCCGTCGACGCCGCTTCGGCGGCCCGCTGTGGTAACCGCAGTGGAAAAGTCCAGACCGCCAACGTGTTGAAATATTCTATGCGGGAATATTTCCAAGCTGCCGGCCCCTGCGGGCCCTCACGGGCCCCTGGAGTTTCAACTCAAGGGATCCACAAACCCGGTATGGAACTCGAGTCAAACTTTCTTCTGACACGCGTGCAACACTTTCACGATTGCTTGGCTGCAAACACTACCTGCACGTTCTGCACCTCGCCCCTGTCGCACCCAGAGGCCACCCGAGAGGGCGGGCCGGGCGTCCCGCCTGAGACATCCTCACCACTTATGACCCTCATGCTTCAAAATTGACAACAGCTTCACGGATCGAAGGCGGGAGGTTTTCAAAATGTGGATCTCGCCTAAGCGCCGCGCACATTCTGCATAAGATTGCAAAAGCTCTGCGGATTGAACGCGGGTCATTTTCAAAATATGGCTCTCGCCTGAGCGCTGCGCACATGTGTTTTCAAAATTGCAAGAGCTTCACGGATTGACGGCGGGTCATTTTAAAAATGTGGCTCTCGCCAGAGCGCTGCGCATACTCGTTTTAGAGATTAGAAAAAGTTTCAAAGATTGAGGGCGGGTCATGTTCAAAATGTAGCTCCCGTCTTTGGCGCCACCCACATTCGTTTTCAAAATTTAAGAGAGCTCCACGGATTGAGGGCGGGTGGCTTTCAAAATGTCGCTTTCGCCTTCGCTCAGCGCACATTCTTTTTTGTGTGCAAGAGCTTCACGGATTGAGGGCGGCTCTTTTTCAAAATGTGGCTCTCGCCTCAGCGCCGTGCACATTCATTTAAAAAATCGCAAGAACTTTGCAGATTGAGGGCGGCTCGTTTTCAGAATGTGGATCTCGCCTGATCGCTCCGCACATTCGTTCCAAAAACTGCAAGAGTTTCACGGATTGACGGCGGGTCTTTTTCAAAATGTGGCTCTCGCCTCAGCGCCGGGCACACTCGTCTTGAACATGTTCAAGAATATGACTGGTACTCATGGTTCACATACCAGGAACGGCGTTCTGGAACAATGCAGGATTGTGAAGGCGAAACAGTCACGTTGATTCGTTGTGTTGAAGTCCTAGGAATGGTGTTATGGTACGATCCAGGTTCGCCAAGACGTAACAGTCAGGTAAGCTCATTGCGCTGAAGTCCTGGGAATGGTGTTCTGGCACGCTTCGAGATGTTCACACGGTTGTCCCCCAACGGGGCACTTCCCTCAGCGGACATGACCCCAGTGTAGGGGCCTTTTGTCTAGGGATCTTGGAGGGAGGGTGTACTTCATCATCGTTGATGAACCCTGGGTTTACACTGGTTCTCCTCCTCCTCCTCCTCCGCCGCCTCCTCCTGCTCCTCATCATCCTCCGCCGCCTCCTTCTGCTCCTCTCATCATCATCCCCTCACTCCTCCTCCTCCTCTTCCTCCTCCTCATACTCCTCATTCCTTCTCTTTCCTCTTTACTGGTCCTTACTCCTTCCTCCTCCTCCTCCTCCTCGTCCTCCTCCTCCTCCTCCTCCTCCTCCTCCTCCTCCTCCTGGTCCTTCTCCTCCTCCTCCTCCTCCTCCTCCTCCTCCTCCTCCTCCTCCCTCCTCCTCCTCCTCCTCCTCCTCCTCCTCCTCCTCCTCCTCCTCCTCCTCCTCCTCCTCCTCCTCCTCCTCCTCCTCCTCCTCCTCCCTCCTCCTCTCTCCTCCTCCTCCTCCTCTCTCCTCCTCCTCCTCCTCCTCCTCCTCCTCATCCTCCTCCTCCTCCTCCTCCTCCTCCTCCTCCTCCTCCTCCTCCTCCTCCTCCTCCTCCTCCTCTCCCCTCCCCTCCTCCTCCTCCTCCTCCTCCTCCTCCTCCTCCTCCTCCTCCTCCGCCTCCTCCTCCTACCTCCTCCTCCTCCTCCCTCCTCCCTCCTCCTCCTCCTCCTCCTCCTCCTCCTCCTCCTCCTCCTCCTCCTCCTCCTCCTCCTCCTCCTCCTCCTCCTCCTTCCTCCTCCTCCTCCTCCTCCTCCTCCCATCCTCCTCCTCCTCCTCCTCCTCCTCCTCCGCCTCCTCCTCCTCCTCCTCCTCCTCCTCCTCCTCCTCCTCCTCCTCCTCCTCCTCCTCCTCCTCCTCCTCCTCCTCCTCCTCCTCCTCCTCCTCCTCCTCCTCTCCTCGTCACCAAAATTCTGGTTTCGCACTCCTTCTCCCCATAGTTATCTCCCTCTGGCACGGCGGCGCTTTTACACGTGTGGCAAATCCGACGCGACCAATGTGGGTTTCCCCCTGGGGGCCGTGGACACCTAAAAATACGCTCCCCGCGCGCACGCGCCAGGCGCATGTTGCTCCCCCCCCTCCGCGCACGCTGTTTCACATGCAAAAATCCAGCGCGCCCAAGTTGGGCCCCGCCCCGACCTGGGGGTCGTGGAGAAGTTTAAAAACATGGCCCACGCGCACGCGCCAGGCGCATGTTGTCTCCTGCCCCTCCGCGAACTTATTTTCACATGTAAGGAATCCAGCGGGCCTATAATGGGTCCCCCCCTTGGTGCCGTGGACGAATGAAAAATACGTGCCCAGCGCACACGCGTCAGGCGAATGATCGGAACTCCCTCCACCTCCGCGCACGCACTTTCACATGTACAGAATCCAGCGGGCCCAAGTTGGGTCCCCCCGTGGGGGCCGTGGACACGTGCCAGTACGTGCCCCGCGCCCACGCGCCAGGCGAATGCTCGGACCTCCCTCCCCCCCCGCGCGCGTTTTTTCACATGTACTGTATCCGGCGGGCCAAAACTGGGTCCCCCCCTGGGGGCCGCGAACACATGACAGTACGTGCCCCGCGCGCACCCCCCTCCCCCAAGTTGGGTCCCCCCCTGGGGGCGCTGGAAATGTAAAACTACATGCCCCGAGCGCACGCGCCAGGCGAATGCTGGCCCCCCAAAAGGGCCGTGGGCACGTAAAAATACGTGCCCAGCGTGCACGCGCCAGACGCATGTTGGCCCCCCTCTGCTTACGCTGCAAAGAATCCGGCGCGCCCAAGTTGGGCCCCCCCGGCCGTGGAGAAGTCAAAATACGCGCCCTGCGCGCACGCGCCAGGCGCATGATGGGTCCCCTCCCCCCCGTGCACGCATTTTCTGGCGCAAAGAATCCAGTGACCCCCGGGTTGGGTCCCCCTGGGGGCCGCGGACACGTTACAGTACGTGCCCCGCGCGCACGCACCTGGCGCATGTTAAGCCCCCCTTCCGCGCACCGAGTTTCCCATGTAAGAACTCCGACGGGCGACCCAGGATGAAGGCAGGCCCCGCCCGGGGTATTGGATCGAGACTTCTGGGACCAGTGCATTGAAAAAAATCTGAGCATCAGATCTCCGGGGGACGGGTCTTCCTCCACCTCGACTGGCGGCGCCGCCAAAGGGGGCGGCGCGTGGGGCGCGCCCTGTTAAAGATCCACACAAGGGGAGCCCGTCCACAAAGAAACTCCCCACAAGAAACCCAACCCCGAGACCCCAGGACGTCCATGGGTTTTTGGCGTGGAATCGTCACGCTCTCCATAGCAAAACCATCGGAACCCAAACAAACCCAGGGCACCCTGGAGGCATGCGGGACGTTTCTTGGCATGGGTTCCCACTGTCGGCCCGGACCCGGCCCTGACCTGGCCCGGACTCGGACCCGACCCGGGCCCAGCCCCGACCCGGACCCGGCCCTGACCTGGCCCGGACCCAGACCCGACCCTTGAGCAAGGACCGACTGTCCCGGCATTCCTTTAGTCCTATCAAGAAAAGCTCTTAGAACCCAAAGAAATATAAGAACAAAAACAATGTTCTTAGGGTCACCCAGGCAACCCGACACGGCCTTGATATGGCAAGGACCTGGCCCGGACTTTTTTGTGCCCGGACACAACACCTGGGCGACACAACCCGAAGGGAGGCGCCCGAGGTGCCTGCATGAATTCACATGCAGTCGGACCTCGCAACATGAACGGCGGCACAAACCCGCCCCAGGCGTCACCTCTGCGCCGCCGTTGCGAAGGGCCTCGGGATGCCACCCCGAGACACGGCCACCGGCAACACCCCCACTTGGCCGCCGGCTTCAAGCAGCGGAGACCACGATGCCCAAGGACTTAAGTTCCCGCGCCCCCCACGTCGGGGGACCACCCCTTCGAGTAACCCCATCGGGCCTCTCAGGGTTGGTGCGGCGGGCCCGCACTTACTGTGGCTGGTCAACGACAGGGCAGGAGTCTCTCCCACAGCCCCGTCGAGCTGTGGTGACGATCGGGCTGCCAACCCACCTGTTTTCCTGGCCCGGACTCTGCCCAAACACGGCCCGGACTCGGCCCAAACCTGGCCCGGACACGACGAAAATCTGGCCCTGACCTGGCTGGGCATCTTAGGAGGCAGGGGTCTTCCCGAAGGCCCTGGAAGCTTCCAAGGTTCCGGAGAAGCCCGGCGGGTTTTTCAGACACTCCCTCTCTGCCTTCTTAGAAGCACCGCCGCCCCTCGGGCGATGGCAGGACTGGGTTTAGTGGAACCTGGTTTAGTGATCTGTATCGGGAACGCCCCCCCGTCCCATTCCACGACCTGGATTTGCCGTCACCCGAAAAACACCAGCTGCGGCAGGCCTGGCTTAGCGATTCCAATCCACATTTTGGGCCTCGGGGCCCAATCACTAACCGGGTCCCCTTACCTGGGGTCTTGGCTATACCCGACCCAGCCCCATCGCGTCACCACTGAAGGGGCCTTGGGACACACAAATAAATACGCACAAATAATAGGATTCCCTATATGTTCCTATATTTTCTGGGTTTTTGTCTTCCCCCACTTCCCATATTTTCCCATATGTTCTGGGGAATCGACGGTTCATTGTGCCTGTGTGATTTTTTCCCTCCTGGACCACCCTGTGGGCGCCGGCAACCCGCGGGTCGCGGGTCGAGGACCGAAGGCCGCGCCGCGGGGCAGTCGAGGCGGCCGGCAAGTCACCAGATGTTTGGCCTCAGGGCCGCAG